GTTTTCCAGTTTGATGGTAGATATTTCAGTTTTCCCCTTGCTTTTATAAGTATTTGCATTAAAATATTATCCTGTTTTTTTGCAATAAATGTATATAACTGCTAACTAAACAGGCCGCCTTTTCTAAAATATCTTTTTGTTGGCATAGGTCCCACAAGGATCTATATATTTTTTTAAAAAAAAAGATTTTTCACCTGAGTCTTGACATCCCAGGACTAACATGGAACAAATTGTCCATGAGCGCTCAGGTTCTGACACTCATGTTTTCTGAGCCATGGTCTTCACATTGGATAATCCTTACCCTTTTGACAACACATCTGCAACTGAATGTAAATGAAAAGCTTTAACAAGTTATCTTGGGTTTTGGTTTCTCTGTAGTATCTGTAAATTGGGAGTATCTGAATGGTCACAGCATGTCTGGTTTTCTTATTGTAGCTGTATTTGTGACTCCATTTTTTTTCTGAGTTCTAGTTTTCAAAATGTAATGTACCATTTACCATAAAAAGATATCATTTGATTCATTGCATACGAAACATTATTTTATTCCATAGTTTCCTTTTTTAATTTCTAGAGAACATTCTGTCCCATGGTATGGGGGTAGGGGTGGTGATGAGGCAGGAGGCAGGTTTCTTCTCTAAGATATTAAGGATCCAAAGGTACTTTAAAAAATTTGTGGAAAAATACAATGAAAAGATAATACGAATCTTTCCATGAACTTTTAAAAGTACCCTCATATATTTAGTCACAATATGATTCCCTTTTTGACTGAGGCCACCAGAGGTGGGAAAGGGAGGGGGAAAAGGGGGTTAGTGAGAAATTGGTAAAAGGCCACAGAAAACAATTACATTGTGTAATGCTGAATATACTTATTATCCCGATATGATAATATCCTGATATGAGCATCACATATTGCACACAGGTATTGATATTCAATGCTGTACTCCACAGATATGTTCAATCAATTATGTTGCAATAAAAGAAAATAGCAAAAAAGAAGTATCTTTTTAAATTTTCAAAAACTATTGGGATTAAAAGTTATCTTTTTTATTGACTTCTCATTTTTTTTTTTTTTTTTAAAGATGACTGGTAAGGGGATCTCAACCCTCAGCCAGTGAGCAAACCAGCCATCCCTATATAGGATCCGAACCTGGGGCCTTGGTGTTATCAGCACCGCACTCTCCCGAGTGAGCCATGGGCCGGCCTTTGACTTCTCATTTTATTTCCTTGTAGCAAGAGACCATGGTCTGTGTGAAATTTTTTTTAAAAAAATTTACTGAGGGGCCGGCCCGGTGGCGCACTGCTACAGTGCGCCGCTTGGGAGCGTGGTGGCGCTCCTGCCGAGGGTTCAGATCCCACATACAGACCGGTTCCCGCTCACTGGCTGAGCGAGGTGTGGGCACGACACCGAGGGTTGCGATCCCGTTGCCAGTCCCGGTCTGGTACGGGCGCGACACTGAGGGTTGCGATCCATTGCCGGACACGAAAAAAAGACAAAAAGGGAAAAAGAAAAAAATTTACTGAGACTTGCATTACAGTCTAGTACATGATCAGTTTGAGTACATGATCTGTATGTGCTTGGGAAGAATGTGATTCTCCAACTGGTTATAGAATTCTTCATATGTCCATTAAATCAAGTTCATTTTGTTGTTCAGTTTGTCTATATATTTATTTTATTTATCTGCTTGTGCTATTAGTAATTGGAATAATACTTTAAAGACATGTTAACCTCCCATTTTGATGGTCGATTTTTCAAGTTCTCTCTTTAGTTATACTTAATCTTCCTTTATACATTTAGAGGAGTTTTATTAGTACACAGAGGTTTGAAGTTTTACTTTTATATTTTAATATAGCTACCTCAACTTTCTTTTGTTAGCATTTACCTGATATATCTTTTCCCATCTTTTTTACTTACAGTCTTTCCTTGAATTTCTGTTTTAGATGTGTGCCTTATAAATGGCATATAGCTGGATTGTTTTTTTTTATCTAGTCTGTTAATACCTGTATTTTAAAGGGTGTGTTTGATATTTGTTGATATGTTCGAACTTGTTTTTACCATCTTTTGTTTTCTCTTTCTTTCTTTTTTTTCTGTGCTTTACTTTTTCTCCTTGCCTTTTAATTTTTGTTCTTAATGTGTTTTCTTCTCCCTACTACTGATTATGCAAGATCTGACCTCAACTGAGCTGGTTGGTAACAGGATTAGTATTGGAAACAGCAGCAACCCATGGTTGATAGGAGAACTGCGGGTGGGATATAATTTTTTTTTGAAAGGAGTCAGATTGACAAGTGATAGGGGAGAGGAGGCAGGGAACTGATAGATAGAGTTCATGGCTGACAGACTTAAAAATTTTTTTTTTACAGGTATGAAACAAGGATGCCTGATAGGACTGGAGGGAAGGGAAGTGGGGGTGTAAGATAAATGAAGACTTAAAATAGAACCCGAAGGGACTAGGTAAGGGAACTGAACAAGCACAAGTTACAGGATTTATGGGTGACAGTGAGGGTCCAGCTGAGTCTGTAGAGCAGGAATTATGTAGTACCTAGGTATGGGAGCAGACAAGGGAAGCTGTAGCATTGGTACAGGTTTGGGATTTTCACGGGCAGTTGTGGCAGAGGGATGAAGGTACATGGATATGGGGGGTACTGGTGAGAGTGGTTCAAATGTTGAAGCTTCTGGAGTCCAGGATGGGTAGAGAAGGAAGATCAGTAGGAGGCAAGTAGACTAAGAGAAAATGGAGGACTCAAGAAACTGTGGTCTTGATGAGGCTGGAGAACAGGCAGAGAGAGAGTGAGCAGTGGTGGGAAAGTGGGGATTCTTGAATTTAAGATTTCAGAGGGGGCAACTGTGATTGGTCAGGTCCATGAATGACAAAGGGAAGATGTACAGTGTTAGCAGTTCCATTTTCTTAAGGTGCTGTCTTTATTTCCTCACAGATGTTCTTGTTTCCCTGGCTTTTGATATTACTTGGTCTTATTGTTGTGCCAATGTGTCTTCTCATCACAGAACTCTGCTGCCTCTCCACAAGCACCAGTTTTCTAATAAATCTGGTATTCTCATTTCCACTGTGCCTGTGCTATCCTTGGTCATTAGCTGTCAAGCAACTGGTGGTACCTATTTTATCCAGGAGCTGCTGATTTTTTGGCCAGTGCGTCAGCCATAATCACATGTATAGGAATTCATTTCCACAATGCTCTGTTCAATATTTTATAATTGCTTTGACCATGATCCTGCCTGGACCGAGACAGTAGAGCATGAGCCCTAGAATCAGATTGCCTGGCCTTGAATCCCAGCAGCTTCACTTACTTGCTGTTTATTCTTGGGCAAGTTAACCTAACCTCTCCTGAATCCCCTAGTTATATAATCTGTCCCCAATGTATCTTTCCTACCTTCTCCCCCACCAATAAATATATACAATTATCTCTCCATATCCGTGGGTTTTGCATCTGTGGATTCAACCAAGCATGGATCAAAAATATTCAGAAAAAATATCCACAAAATTCCAAAAAGCAAAATTTGAATTTGCTTTGTGCTGAGTACTGTGTTGAATCCATGTGAACAAAGTGATGTGTAGGCATTGTATTAGGTATTATAAGTAATCTAGAGGTGATTTAAAGTATACGGGAGGATGTGCAAATACTATGTGCAAATACTATGCCATTTTACGTAAGGGACTTGAGCATCTGAAGATTTTGGTATCCATGCTGGGTCCTGGAACAAATCACACACAGATACTGAGGAACAACTGTACTCTATTCAATAAGGCAAAGTCTACCTCTTCTGTAAAACCTCTGACGTATACAGCTCTCTCCCCTCTCTGTATGCAAGATAGAATTAGTTACTTCCTTCTCTAAGTTTCCTTAGCACTTAATTTATAAACCCTCTAGTAGAACTTAGTACGTTGGACTGTATGTGTGTCTGTTTCCCCTGCTACTCTGTGAACTTCTTAAGGGTAGGAACTGTCTTACTCATCTCTGTATCCCCAGCACTTTGCACAATACCTGTCAGAGTAGCGTTCAACAAATGTTTCTGAAATGCGGGAAGATATTCTTGAGGTAGTGCTAGTGCAATAAGAACTTTGGGAGGGAGAGTGAATGGTAAGAGTTTTGAAGTGTGGCAGAAAGTTGACTGAATCCCAGGAACATGGAAGTTGGTCAGGAATGGAAAAATGGGCCTAAACTAGCAGGAGTCCTCATATGCTTTTCTCCTCCACTACAGAGACCAGCTGCTTGATTATTTGGGTTAATAGACTTGGGACTTGAGAACATGTAAAGTATTAAAAATTGGATAATTCATTGGATGAGTGGATACAGAAAATGTGGTTCATCTATGCAATGGAATACTACTCAGCTATAAAAACGAATGAAATACTGCCATTTGCAACAACATGGATGGACCTTGAGAGAATTATATTAAGTGAAACAAGTCAGGCACAGAAAGAGAAATACCACATGTTCTCACTTATTGGTGGGAGCTAAAAATTAATAAATTCAGACACACACACACACACAAAAAAAAAAAGTCCGGGGAGGGGGAAGAAGATATAACAACTACAATTACTTGAAGTTGATACGACAAGCAAACAGAAAGGACATTGTTGGGTGGGAGGGAGGAAAGGGAGGAGGGAGGGAGGTTTTGGTAAGGGGCAACAATAATCAACCACATTGTATATCGACAAAATAAAAAAAAAATTTGGATAATTGAGGATTCACTAGGTGAAGGGAGTGTTTGACACAGCTGTTTTATGCTCTTTCCAGACCAAGATGCTTATGTTGAAAGACCCAACCCTTACCCAGAGTCATGAATAATTATTCTTAAAAAATTAAAGCCTTTTCATTGTCAGGGCATGGTTCAGGTGAGAGTAGGAATGGTCAATAGGTCAGATACTTCTACATTGTCTCTTTAGCCCTGCTTAAGGAGGAAGTAGCCTACTGAAAGGCTCTAGGGCTGTGGGCCTATTCTGGAGTAAATCATCTGTGTGAAATTAGTTCTTCTCTCATTTCAGGCAACTCTGGTCGCTTTGAAGAAAGAAGAGTTAAAAAAAAAAAAAGTAGAATAAGTCATGTCGGAGATACTGGACCTTTCTTTTCTGTCTGAGGTAGAAAGGGATTTGATCCTCAGTGTTCTACAGCGAGATGAGGAGCTCCGGAAAGCAGATGAGAAAAGGATTAGGTAAGCGTCCTGGAGAAAGCATAAGGTCTTAGGCCTTTGACCAAAGATATCTGGGCTTTTCCTTATGCCTCTCATCTGACTTTCAGAGGAAACGTGTATATAATGTTTGTAACTCCTTGCTGGGTCAAGCTGGGCACTGAGTTTGTTGCTTTCATGGAAGTATATAGTCTTACTGTCTTTACCTCTCAACCCATCCAATCTATGCAAATCCTGAATCCACTTGTGCTTCTCTTTTGGGTCTTGTCAGGCGACTGAAGAATGAGTTACTGGAGATAAAAAGGAAAGGGGCCAAAAGGGGCAGCCAACACTATAGTGATCGGACCTGTGCCCGGTGCCAGGAGAGCCTGGGCCGTTTGACTCCCAAGACCAATACTTGTCGGGGTTGTAATCACCTGGTGTGTCGGGACTGCTGCATCCAGGAAAGTAATGGTACCTGGAGGTGCAAGGTGTGCGCCAAGGAAATGTGAGTGTCACTTATGGTTGAGTAGAGAAAGGAGTTGTGGCCCTGTCTTTGGTGAAAATTTCTCCCCTCGGCCTTTGCTGGTTGAATGACAAGAGCCATTCTTTATCCATCTGTCATTTTTTTTTTTTTTTCATTCTTTCCCAGAGAGCTGAAGAAAGCGACTGGAGACTGGTTTTATGACCAGAAAGTGAATCGCTTTGCTTACCGCACAGGCAGTGAGATCATTAGGATGTCCCTGCGCCGCAAACCTGCAGGTACTGGATCTATCTAGAGATGGTTCTCTGGGGGGCTTAACCTCAGTAATAGATCCTCTGGCATGGAATCCTAGAGTATTTTGACTGGTGGTGTCTTAACTTCATAGGCTTAGCTGGCTTGTGGGGAATATAAAAGATTGTGTCGCCATCCCTTCTGCAAGTGTGGTGTGTTTCAGGGGAGATGCTATGAGGGTTGTTTCCCTTCTCCCCCCTCATCATTACCACCCTGCCATGCTTTTGTTCATCTTAAAGTGAATAAAAGAGAGACAGTGGGACAGTCCCTCCTTCATCAGACACAGATGGGCGATATCTGGCCAGGAAGAAAGATCATTCAGGAGCAAAAGAAGGAGCCCAGGTAAGAACCAAATAATTGTTTTTTAAAATGCTACAACATCCCTTTAATTTATTATTCTTTCTACTTTCTTCTGTTTATAAAGTAATACATATTCATTATAGGAAAATTTAGAAAGTACAGAAAAGAGTAAACAAGGAGGAATAAAATCATTCCTAATCCTACTATTCACACATAAACATTAACATTTTGTTATATTTACTTTGTTCTTTATAAAACAATTTGAAGGCAAATAAAAATAACGTATACTCATTGTTAAAAATTTAACCAGTATAAGAAACCGGATAGGGCCGGCCCGGTGGCGCACTACTATAGTGCGCCGCTTGGGAAGTGTGGTGGCGCTCCTGCCGAGGGTTCGGATCCCACATGCAGACCGGTTCCCGCTCACTGGCTGAGCGAGGCGCAGGAGCAACACCGAGGGCTGCGATCCTGTTGCCGGTCCCGGTCCGGTACGGGGGCGACACTGAGGGTTGCGATCCGTTGCCGGACATGGAAAAAGACAAAAAAAAAAAAGAAACCGGATAGAAGAAATCAACAAATCACCCAAATTCCTACTACCCCAGTTTTCACAATATGTGAAAATCATTTCAGATATTTTCTCTCTATATAAATATAAATAGAGGGATGACTGGATGGATAGACTGAAAAAACTTTATAATATTGGATCATAATATAATAAAGTAAAATAATTCTGTGTAATTTTATTTGAATTTAACAGAATAAGATGCTGAAATAAAATGGAAGAATTGCTAATCTTCAGGCAAATGTTTCTTTACCATAAAACATATTAGTTATTAAATCCCTTTGAACTTAAGAAAAAATATTATAAAAACCATTGAGCAGTTAGTCACTTTTTTTAGTGGTTTTATTTTTGTTAATAGCCTTATCAAGATATAATTCACATACCATACGATGTACCCATTTGTGGTACAGTACAATGGTTTTTAGTATATTCAGAGTTGTGCAGCCAACACTTCAATTGATTTTAGAACATTTTCATCACCTTAAAAAGAAACCCTGGGCCCTTTAGCTATCCCTTTCTCTCAGCCTCCCTATCCTTTCCCATCCTCAAGCAATCATTGATCTAATTTCTGTCTCTATATATTTACCTATCCTGGGTATTTCATGTAAATAGAATCATATAATGAGGCGTCTTCAAAAAGCTCATAGAAAGATTCGTATTATCTTTTCATTCTATTTTTTGGTGAACTTTTTGAAGTACCCTTGTATGTGGTACTTTGTCACTGGCTTCTTTCACTTAACATGTTTTCAAGGTTCATCCATGCTGTAACATGTATAATTACTTAATTTCTTTTTATTGCCAAATGATATTCTGTTATATGTATATACCACATTTTGTTTATCTGTTCATCTGTTGATGAACATTTGGGTTGTCCACTTTTTGGCTATTAAGAGTAATGCTGCTATGGACATTTGTTATGAGTTTTATGTGGACATAAGTTCTTATTTCTCTAATATAGATATCTAGGAGTGGAGTTAGTAATAAGTTAGTCATTTTTAAAATCTACCTGTTTCAATATTAAACATTATCAGGGTGCTCTCTTCTATGAAAGAGGAAAAGATTAGCTTTTTTATGCTTCCTCCCTGTTCTTTTCCCCCATTCCCACTCTTTGTTACTCAAATTATTTTTACTTTGTTAGGGTTTATAACATTTACATTCTATTATATAATAGTAAATAATCTACTTGTTTTATCTGTTTGCTTAGTTTTAGTTTCATATTTAAAAGGATTTTATATTTACAACCAGGCCTTGTACCATGGCTTCTCTATTCCTGAACTTTTTACTTTGATTTTTTTTCTTGGTTTTCTGGATTTCATCGTTGAGAAGTTCCTTTAAGCAGGGCTTGCAGGTACTATAGTTATTGCATCTGCCAAGTGCTTTTATACTTGAATGGTATCTTGGCTGGATATTATACTTTTGGGTCACATTTTCTTTCCCTCAAAACATGGTAGACATTGCTCCATTGTCTTCTGCCGCTGAATGTAACTGTGAAGTCTGAGGCCAGCTTGACTCTTGTTTTTCTCCTTTGTAGGTAACTTTGTGTGATTGGAATTGCCTAAAAAATTCTTTTTGAAGTTTAGTAATATAACAAGGCTGTAACTCAATGGTGATCATTTTGTATCATTTTTCCTGATATGCAGTGTACCCTTGGTGAGTTCTTTCTTCATCGCTGGAAAATTTTTCTGTATCATATCTCTGAACTCTTTATTTTTCTGTTTTATTAGTAAGTTCTCCACCTCAGGGATATTGGATTTCTTTATCCTCCATTTGTGTCCTTTTACTGTCTAATGCAATAGAAAAAGGGAAAGATGAAAGCAATTAACCATGATTAGCCCAACCCGTTCCTCTATGCTATTAGTTTATTTTTCAGCCAATTTTTTCCTCCTCTCCTCTCCTCTCTTCCCTTCCCATTTCCTTCCTTTCCCTCCCCTCCCTTCACCCTTCTATTTTGCTGTTTCTAATTTAATTATTGGAATAGTTTATCTTTAGTTTTTTTTATTGAAACATAATTGATTATACATATTTATGGGGTACAGACTTGAACATCAATATCTGTGTACAATGTGTGATGATCAAATCAGGATAATTAGCATATTCATCATTATAAAACATGATCATTGTGTTGAGGACATTCAATCTCCTCTCTTCTAGCCATTGATAACGTGGTAAATTAATGTTAATTACAGATGCCTAGCCCAATTGTGCATCAATAGAACTTATTTTTTCTAATTAGGTGTTTTGTATCCATTAACCAATTTTTCACTATCCCCCCTCCCCCTCCTTTTTCCCACCTCTAGTAATCGCAGTTCTATTCTCTCCTTCTGAAAGCTTGGCTTATTATTATGATTGTTTCCTTCCTTCCTTCCTTCCTTCCTTCCGACTTATTTATTTATTTATTTATTTATTTATTTTTGAGCTCTCACTTATGAATGAGGACATGCGGTATTTGTCTTTCTGTGCCTGGCTTATTTCACTTAACATATTTTTCTCCAAGCTCATCCATGCTGCTTTGCTTTCAGTCTTTTTTTTTCCTCTTATTTTTTGTTTTATTGTATTGTATTTGAGCTCTTGCATTTTATCAAATCTATATTCTTATTAAGTTTCCCTGTAGTGTGAAGCACTCACAAGAAACTTACTTATTTTCCTTGGGTTATATTCTTCAGGCTGGGTTCTTTGTCTACCTTGTAAGTTATTTCCATCTCTTCCCACTCCATGGCTATTTATATATTTGCCAGACCATTTTATTTCATTTTATTCATGTTTAACATGAGAAGTCTATTATCTTTTGTTCCCTCTGACATAGTGTATGTGAATTCTTTTAGACAGGTTTCTCATCTCACCTTGAAACAATTTATCTCTTCCCCACATCCAGCTATACTTTAGTTTAGGACTGAATATTGCTTTCTATATACTTCTTATAACCTGAAGGGAAGGGTAGAAGGCAGCTTGGGCTCCTGGATTTTGGTCTCCTGAGATTCTTTTAAATGTACTGGTTCAGGACTTAGGTTTCCCACCTCTGGGTGAATCCTGTAGATCATACCAATGCCCTGGGAGAGGACATGCCCAGCAGTCTCGTATGCCTCTGTTGGGGTCCCACAGTGGTAGCTGTGACTAAAAATCTTAAGAACTGTTGTTTTTCTTGGCTTACCCCAGGATTGCCTACTCTCTCGCTTAATCTCCACAACACCAGATTGGAAGGTATTAATTAAGGAGCTTTGCTGAGCTAAATCTTGTTTTCTTAGCCATGACTTTTTGAACTTTATGATAAAGGTTTTATTCCTTACTTTGTTTGGTTGCTTCTGATGAATTTTTGGCTTTTGTGTGTGTGTGTGCGTTTTTCCCCTAATTTTCCCTCAACCAAGGGAAATGACTTTATCACAGTTTATAAGATTATTGAAAAGCAACATAGAAGTATATACAGTAAGTCCTCCAGTAACCTCACTGCCTTTGCTCCAGACAATTATTGTTAATAGTCATTAATAGTTTTGATGTATGGACTACCAAACTGTCTAAGTGTACACACATGGGTTGGATTCCTAAGTTTTTAATTTCTTTTTTAAAGAAGGATCATACCATATATATCGTAAGTGAAAAGAAAGAAAAAGAACTTTAAAAACTTAATACAGCTAATCCCATAGAAAATGGGCAAAAGATTTGAATGGACATTTCACCTAAGACAATATATACATGTCAAATAAGCACATGAAAAGGTGCTCAACATCATTAATCATTAGAGAAATGCAAATTTAAATCACCATAACATACAACCATACATGCCCATTAGAATGGCTAATTTTTTTTAAAGTTTATATATATATTTTTGTCCTTTTTGAGACGGCCGCACCACGCTCAGCCAGTGAGCACTGTGAGCGCACCGGTCATCCCTATATAGGATCCGAACCCGCGGCGGGAGCGCTGCTGCACTCCCAGCGCCACACTCTCTTGAGTGCGCCACGGGCTCGGCCCTATATATATATATATTTTTTTTTACATTCTAAGATGTTGTGGAGTAGTTGGGTGTGCACCTACCTACCTCGTGATTCAGCCATTCCATTCCTAGGTATTTACCCAAGAAAAGTGAAAGCATATGTCCATACAAAGACTTGTACATGAATGTTTATAGCAGCTGTATTTGTAATAACCAAATCCTGGAAACAATCCAAATGTCCATCAACAGGCGAATGGATAAACTGTGATTGGTTTATACAATGTAATACTACTCAGCAATAGAAAGGAATAAACTATGGATACATGCAACAACATGGATTAATCTCAGAATAATCATGCTTAGTGAAAGAAGCCCCCCCCCCCAAAAAAAAATAGTGCATACTGTATGATTCTGTTTATATAAAATTCTAGAAAATGAAAACTAATTTTTAGTGACAGAAAGCAAATTAGTACTTGCCTAGGGACATGGGCTGGGAGGGAGGGATTACGAAGGGGCAGGAGGAAACTTTTGGGAGTGATAGATAATGTTTGT